CTTCGATAGTATGCCTACAGTCTTGGAAATTTTCTTAGAAATTTGATGTATATGTGTATGAAATTTGAGTCTATTATCAAGGTGGATTCCTAAGAATTTTCCCTCTGTTAGTTTTGTGGTAGGTGATCCATTTATCATTATGTTAAGAGGGACATCTGTAGCTCTGTTACCAAACTGAATGAAGTAGGTTTTGTCAATGTTTAGTGTAAGTTTGTTAGTCCTCATCCAGGTAGATATTTTCTGTAATTCGGTATTTACAGTATTGGCTAGCGTGACTGGGCTCGGGTGAGAGAAGACGTATGTAGTGTCATCTGCAAATAGTGTGGGTTTGAGTAATTGCGAAGCATTTGGAAGGTCATTTATGTATAGGAGAAAGAGAAGAGGGCCAAGGACACTTCCCTGTGGGACACCAACTGTAATTGGTTGTGCAGAAGAGTTTGCCCCATTTGCGTACACATATTGGCTTCTGTTGCTGAGGTAAGACTTGAGGTAGTTGAGGGAGTGCCCTCTTATACCATAGTGTGACAATTTTACGTGGAGCAAGTCATGGTCAACTGTATCAAAAGCTTTACGTAAGTCAATGAAGATCCCCAGTGGGACTTCTTTTTTCTCTATTGCAGTGTATATATGTTCTAGCATGTGTATAATAGCATCATTAGTATTTTTATTAGGCCTGAATCCAAATTGGCAGGGGTTGAGTATGTTTTGGGAGATAAGGTAGGAGTAGATTCGTTTATGAATTAATTTTTCGAAGATTTTGAGAGAGGGTGTAAGTTGGATATTGGCCTATAGTTATTCAACTCTGTTTGGTCTCCTCCTTTGTGGATCGGGGTGACCCTTGCTATTTTGAGTACTGTAGGGAAGGTGGAGGATTCAATGGATTTGTTAAAGAGTGTTGCAATGATTGGTGATAGCACTTGTGACACTTTTTTGTATATAAGGGGTGGTAAGGTATTTAAATCTCCTGCCTTGTTTTTTAGTGCGTTGATAATAAGGGAGACTTCGTATGGGTTAGTCGGAGCTAGGAACAGTGTGTTCGGGTAGTTGCCGGTGAGGTAGTCATTTGGTGGGGTATCTGAGCTTGGGATTTTATTGGCAAGGTTTTGTCCTATAGTGGAGAAGAAATCATTGAGTCTGTTTGCTGTTTCTGTTGGTGGGAGTTGGGGTTCATCTGTTTTGCTAATTTTATTTCGCTATTTCGTGATATCTTTTTTGTTCCCAGAATTTCTGATAGGGTTTTCCAGGTCTTTTTTATATCACCTCGTAAGTTGGATAATCTGTTCTCATAATACAATTTTTTTGCCCTTCTTATCAGGCTGGTTAGGATTGACGAGTAACGTTTTGTTTGGTCTCTGGTTATGTGACCCATTCTGTACTGTTTTTCATATTGGTGTTTTGTATTTATGGATTTGAGAATGCTGGGTGTTAGCCAGGGACTGTTCAGTCTCTTTGCTGTCATCTGTTTAGTTTTTTTAGGGCAGTGCTTGTTATAGAGGTATTGGGTTTTTTTTAGAAAATTATTAATACATTCGTCAATATCTGTATAGGTTTCTAGCTCAGTGTGCCAATCAATGTTTGCTATTGCTGTTGTGAAGTTATTAATGGCTGCCTCATTGTGAAGTCTGAAGGTGACTTTAGTAGTGTCTTGGGGTAGTTTACCAAGAGTTGTTATGAGGAAAGTAGGGTAGTGGTCTGTGGTATTATCTGTAATTATGCCTGATTTTAAAGGGGATATGGTGTTGGTCCAGATGTGGTCAAGTAGGGAAACACTAGTCTCTGTAACTCTTGTAGGTTTTGTTACTGTTGGTAGTAACATACAGTTACTCATTGTGTTTGTGAATTCAGTAACGTGTGGGTCCTGGTCTTGCAGGAGATTTATATTGAAGTCACCTGAGAGTAGTAAGTGATCTTTGTTCATGCGTGCATCAGTTATCATACTTCCTAGATTTTGACTAAATTGGCTAATGTTTGACTGTGGAACTCTGTAGATGTTTATCAATGTGAGAGGTTTTTGTAGGTACTTTGATTTGAATTTAGCTATTATATATTCCCCATGTTCATCCCTTGTGCAAGTATTAGTGATACATTCTAGTTGGTCTGAGTAGTATATGGCTGTGCCACCCCCTTGTTGATCTGGCCTACAGTTGTGTATGGCTGTGTAACCAGGAATGGCATAGACATCTGTACTATCAGGCTTTAGCCAGGTTTCAGTTAGTGTAATGATGGACATATTGGCATGTAAGGAATTTAGTAATGCTATGAGGTCATCGTAATGCTTGCTTAAAGATCTGATATTGTAGTTAAATATAGTTATGTTGTTGTTGGCACTGAGAAGTGCCTTTGATTGTTCTGCAGTGTAGTAATTACAGTTACTGTTTGATTCATTTAAGTCATTAAATAAGAGGTTGGTATCAGGATCAATGCTTGTAATCATAAGATTTGTAGTGAATCTATAGTTTGAATTAAGTATAAAACAAAGTAAATAGTCTTAAGCTAAAAAATAGCACCTGGATTATTTAACAAATGTAAAATAATGAGCTAAGGGACTAATACAAATAAAGTGATGATCAAATAGTGGAGCTTGGGAATATGATAGTAGGTAGTACTATAAAGGTAATTTTTTTAGTATAATAGTTGGCACAAAAGAAAGCCACTAATTATGCAATGCATTTCAGGCAACTAATCAAGGGCAACAGGTGTAAAGAAACATACTTAATGATTTACCCATGTAAGGATCGATCCCTCGTCTCTCAGTGTGGTAGCAACTAAGCCACGATCACTTGCATATTTACCATAAATATCAGTGAGTGAGTCTTGGCAACAGAACTGTGGATGAGTGGAACAAACTCCCGAGAGATAAGATAAGATAAGATTTCGTTCGGATTTTTAACCCCTGAGGGTTAGCCACCCAGGATAACCCAAGAAAGTCAGTGCGTCATCGAGGACTGTCTAACTTATTTCCATTGGGGTCCTTAATCTTGTCCCCCAGGATGCGACCCACACCAGTCGACTAACACCCAGGTACCTATTTGCTGCTAGGTGAACAGGACAACAGGTGTAAGGAAACGTGTCGAAATGTTTCTACCCGCCGGGAATCGAACCCGGGCCCTCCGTGTGTGAAGCGAGAGCTTTAGCCACCAGGCCACCGGGCCTGAAAACTTGAGGTACCTTGAAAAATATGTTGGATACATACGTGAATAGGTGGGCGAGATAGACTTGCCTAGCATGGGCAAGTAGCCCTGTAATAAAGTTGGTAGAATTACCGACAATATGTAAAGTAAAAGGACACAAGTGCAACTAATGTGACATTTATTGTGGCAACGTTTCGCTCTCCAGGAGCTATATCAAGCCCTGGCTTGATAAAGCTCCTGGAGAGCGAAACGTTGCCACAATAAATGTCACATTAGTTGCACTTGTGTCCTTTTACTTTACAAGTAGCCCTGTGTCAGTGCTTCTCTATTGTTTTAATATTATTGACCAGATACATTACTCTTCTGGAAATATTTCAGTTTGTTTTATTTTTTTTTATTTCAAGTTACTGTATATACAGTAAGATTTATTCGGATTTTTAACCTGGTGGTCTGGTGGCTAAAGCTCCCGCTTCACACACGGAGGGCCCGGGTTCGATTCCCGGCGGGTGGAAATTCCGACACGTTTCCTTACACGTATTGTCCTGTTCACCTAGCAGCAAATAGGTACCTGGGTGTTAGTCGACTGGTGTGGGTCGCATCCTGGGGGACAAGATTAAGGACCCCAATGGAAATAAGTTAGACAGTCCTCGATGACGCACTGACTTTCTTGGGTTATCCTGGGTGGCTAACCCTCCGGGGTTAAAAATCCGAACGAAATCTTATCTTAACAACCCAGGATAACCCAAGAAAGTCAGTGGGTCATCGAGGACTCTTTCTCTTATTTACACTGTGATCCTTGAATCCCTTCCCCCAGGATGCCACCCACACCAGTCTACTAACACCCAGGTACCTACTTACTGCTAGGTGAACAGGGACACAAGGAGTAAGGAAACGTGTCCAACGTTTCTACCCATGCTGGGGCCTGAGCCAAGGACACTGTGCCCACAGAATAATTTTGTAATATGAAAAACAAAATCATATATTTCAGCGTCACCCAATAAAAATATATCCCTTTCCTTGACTTCATTAGGTTACCGTAAATAATTTACGCTATTCTGTGTGAAACAATTGCAAAAATCTAAATCTGTCATGAACTCAAGTGAACGTTAAGTACAGTGAAATTATCATACTTGTTTTGCAACATATGTGTCGGTATTTTACACCATTTATTTTCAACATATGGGAATCTTTATTGAAGAAACGTTTCGCCACACAGTGGCTTCATCAGTCCAATACAAAGCAGGAAGGTAAAAGTAGAGGAGTTTGAGGTAATCAGTCCCTCAGCCTGGAGTCGATGTGTTCAGCATAAGTGTCTCACTTCTTCAATTTGTCGGTTTTCAAAACCATTCATCACATTATGTCTGTTCTGGAAAAATAAAGCTTATGAGGAAAGATGTTTCCTAATAAAAATGTTTTAATGTTACATACGTGTCTATTTAAGTAACAAAAATAAAAACTACTTTCCGGATTTGTATCAATTATCAAAACTGAAAAAAAAATCACGTGACAATAATCACTTCTGTATAATTTCCTTGTAATTATGTTATGATTTTATAATAAGGCCGATTACTTTAGAAAAACATACTGAATATTAGAGAGGAAATAGACCTAGGTGTATTTATAGTATTTTACTTATTTGAATGTTATTTTCTGTTTGTGTAGTGATTAATTGAATTTAGCGCTAATAATTATTACGGTATCTACTGCTATTCAAACTTTAATGAGTATTTCATTAAGTGCCTGAATGATATCGAGAAACATATATTTAGCATGAGAAAAGTAATGGTGAATTAATGCGGGTATTTTTAATATATTTTTGATGTTAATGAGTGAATGAGAGGAGGTACTAGTTAGTGTGGCGGAGGTCGTGGCGGCGGAGGAGCCGCCAAAACCAAACTAGACGCCATTCTGGAGCCTCCGCCCGCACGTCTTATCTCTTCCCCGGCCACCATCTCTGCCATGTCTTTCGGGAGAGGCAATAACGAGTGTCGCATCTACGTAGGCAACCTGCCTCCGGACATCAGGACCAAGGACATCGAGGATCTGTTCTATAAATTCGGGAAGATTGTGTTTATAGATCTGAAGAACCGTCGTGGGCCACCATTCGCCTTCGTTGAGTTTGAGGACTCAAGGTGAGAGGTGGCGTCTTGAAGATGCCGGGCCCAGGAGCTACTTTTACACTCTCCTGGTTAATCATATTGCCATCACCAGTGATCTAGAGTATTATTAGTGAATGTTATGTTTGAGAAGGATGTTACCTTGTATTAGTGGGTGTACAGAACACGAGGGCGCGGTGTGACGCCTACTTATCTGACTATAATTTTAAGCAAGTTTTGATTTAGACTTTGCATACATAATATGGCTTTGTTCTTACAGTGGTCTTGGTGACGCACGTTACGGCCATATAAAAATTGCATTACGAGGCGCTAACCTAGTTAAACTAGTCAAAAAGTGTGACTTCCCTACCGGGAATCCAGTTAATACTGAGGAATATAACTCAATTAAACTCTACTTTACAGTTAGTTCTCTTGTATATAAATATTAATATATTTAGGACCCCAATGGAAATAAGTTGCTTCATGTGACTTTTTTTTCGATTATCTTAGATAATTTATGCTGTGATAAATTTACTTAAATGTACTTGTACCTACACTTTCTTATTAATCTTGAGCTATCCAGCAGTTAGAATGAGTAAGATTGTGAATATTAATGTGTTATATATATGCATTTGCATATCTAATTGTCTCACTAGATATTGATATATACAATTTTTGTGGCCTGATGGGTAAAGCTCCCACTTCACAGGGTGAGGACCTGTGTTCAGTTCCCAATAAGGGTAGAAATATTAGGTGTGTTCCTTACACTGGTTGTCTATGTTCACCCATCTGTAAAATGGGTACCTGGGAGTTAGTCAACTGGTGTGAGTCGCATCCTGGGACAAAACTGACCTAATTTGCCAAAAATGCTCTGCATAACAAGTGGCTTTCTATATAATAGTATGTCATTGATGTCAGCTAGGCCTGTTTACCATGTACATGTACCTGTAGTAAATAAAGAGTATTGCAAGTTTACTCAGGTTCGTTGCACAGTTTTAGATTTTTGTAATTGTTTTACACTACTGTAAATTACCTAGGATAACCTAATGAATTCAAGGAAAGGGATTTATTTCCATTGGATACTGCTGAAATATTTGTTTTTGTTATATTACAACAGCATCCTATGGACTTTGTGGTTATTGTATATTTTGTATATGCAGTGACTTGAAATAAAAAATAAGTAAATAAAATAAATTTAAGTATTTTCAGAACAGTAATATATTTGGTCATTGATATGATAAGACCATATGAAAGGAGTACTACAGTAGGTCTACTGACCCATGCTAGGCAAGGCTAAGTTGCCCACCTATTCGTGTATTTGTATAACCTATTTTAAAAGCTACCCAAAGTTTTCACTTCAGTGATCCTTCTCTGGGAGTTTGTTCCACTCGTCCACAGCTCTGTGGCCAAACCTCTCGCTGAGATTTGTGGTAAATGTGTGGGTGCTTGTGGCTTAATTGCTAGCATCCCCAGCTTGCATTGTGGGACAGGATCAATTCAGGCTTGGGTGAAAGATTTGGGAAAGGAATAACTTCTGTACATTGTTTCACTTAAGAAAACCTGAATTTATTTTTTAAATGGAAGCAGTTTGCATTTTCAGTTTGAGACCTCTCATTTGCCATGACAGAATTGCCACATTGTTGAGCAGTAAATTATTATGCACATCTAACTCCCTTTTGCCTATAATCAGATTTTTAATTGATACTGGTTATTTTTGTATTTGTAGTTTTTAGTTTTTTCTTTTTATTGAATGGTGAATATAAATTTTATTGTCAAGTGTTGTGCGACCTTCATGGTTGAAGTGCTCTGTAAATATCACACCTGCTACTACTACTACCACTTCCACCTAGGTACTGTAACCATATTTTGTTGTCAAGGTAGTCTTTAATATGCTTAACTTGTTGCTTAACCCTTTGACTGTTTTGGTCGTATATATACGTCTTGCACGCCACTGTTTCAGACGTATTAATACGCGTAAATTCTAGCGGCTTCAAATCAAGCAGGAGAAAGCTGGTAGGCCCACATGTGACAGAATGGGTCTGTGTGGTCAGTGTGCACCACATAAAAAAAATCCTGCAGCACAGTCCATAATGAGAAAAAAACTGACTTTGTTTGGATTAAAACACCGACTTTGAGGTGTATTTTCAAATAGTATTTATCATTGTATTCTCGTTTTCACGGTCTCACGTGATAAAATGGAAAACATATTACAGAAATAGTTTATTTTGATTAGTTTCACGATGAAAATGACCTCGAAATTGAGCTCAAAGTAGCGGAAATGTTTGGTTTTTACCAATGTTCAGGAGTAAACAAATCACACCACACGTCCAGTACACGTCAACTGGGGAGTCTAATATTCTTTCACTGGTGCACTGATATTATTTATACCATTTTTACAATAATGCATTAGTCTGTATAACACTAAATTTTGTATTTTTTGTATGAATAAAAAATCAAAATAGAAAGCAATAGTAATCTAAGAGGGGCCTAGAGACGTGACTAATGAACAGAGGATGTGTTAGTGCCAAGAATGTCTGCATTGCTTATTCTGGACCCTATTTTGAAATTGGCATCATTAATTTGTGTGAAATTGGCCAAATTGCCAATTCCTGACCACTTTATTGGGTAGTTCAAATCGGTAAATGGGCGGTTTCTTGTACTCAGCTGATAGAAAAAATTGAGTTCTGAAGAAATAGCTGTGAGTTTGGTCAGCTGGAACAACGGAATTGGCCAAAAACAGGGCTCAAAGTCGGCAAAATCGCCGATGCGTATATGTCGTCGAGACCGCTAACTTTGCAGGAGCGTAATTCCGTGAGTTTTCAACAAAATTTTGTACTTTTTGTGTCATTACCATCGGGAAAAGATTCTCTTATCATTTCACAAGAAAAAAAAAAAATTTTCCCCCAAAAAATTTGCGACATAGAAAGGGGCTTGCGACAGTCAAAGGGTTAAAAGCTTTGGGCATTTAGTATACAGTGGACCCCCGCATAGCGATTTTAATCCGTGCAAGAGGGCTCATTGTTATGCAAAATGATCGGTATGCGAATTAATTTTCCCCATAAGAAATAATGGAAATCAAATTAATCTGTGCAAGACACCCAAAGGTATGAAAAAAAAAAATTACCACATGAAATGTTAATTTTAATACACATAAACTGAAAAAGGCATGCACAATTACATGACACTTACTTTTATTGAAGATCTGGTGATGATTGATGGGATGGGAGGAGGGGAGAGAGTGTGTTAGTGTTTAGAAGGGGAATCCCCTTCCATTAAGACTTGAGGTGTCGAGTCCTTTTCTGGGGTTACTTCCCTTCTTCTTTTAATGCCACTAGGACCAGCTTCAGAGTCACTGGACTTCTTTCGCACAACATATCTGTCCATAGTGGCCTGTACCTCTCGTTCCTTTATGACTTCCCTAAAGTGTTTCACAACATTGTCAGTAATAATCACCAGCACAGCTTGCAATAGCTGTGTGGGGGTTTGATTCTCATCCATAAAGGTTTGCACTTTCAGCCACATTGCACAGATTTCCTTAATCTTTGTAGTAGGCAACTTCTTCAATTTCTCTCTCCCCTCCTCTGAACCAGTTTCCTCAGGTATGGCCTCTTGCTGTTGAAGTTGATCTATCAGCTCATCAGTGGTTAGTTTTTCATTGTCCTCCTCCACCAACTCTTCCACATCCTCCCCACTAACCTCCAACCCCAAGGACTTTCCCAATGCCACAATGGATTCCTCAACTGGCATAATTCTCTCAGGGTTAGCCTCAAACCCTTCAAAATCCCTTTTGTCTACACATTCTGGCCACAGTTTCTTCCAAGCAGAGTTCAAGGTCTTCTTAGTCACTCCCTCCCAAGCCTTACCTATAAGGTTTACACAATTGAGGATATTAAAGTGCTCTCTCCAAAACTCTCTTAGTCAGTTGAGTTTCTGAGGTCACTACAAAGCACCTTTCAAACAGCTTTTGTGTACAGTTTTTTGAAGTTTGCAATAACCTGCTGGTCCAGGGGCTGCAGGAGAGGAGGGGTAATTAGGAGGCAAAAACTTCACCTTAAATGAATTTCATGTCCCCATAAAGTCGCTCTGGCACGTCTGTAGGATGACCAGGGGCATTGTCTAACACCAGGAGGCACTTAAGGTCTAATTTCTTTTCAGTTAGGTAATCTTTCACATTGGGGGCAAATGCATGGTGTAACCAGTCATAGAAAAAGTCCCTATTGACCCATGCCTTACTGTTTGCCCTCCACAGCACACACAAATTCTCCTTGAGGACATTCTTCTGCCTGAACGGTCTGGGAGTTTCAGAGTGATACACTAATAAAGGCTTCACTTTGCAATCACCAGTATCATTGGAACACATCAACAAAGTAAGCCTGTCTTTCATAGGCTTATGTCCTGGGAGTGCCTTTTCCTCCTGAGTAATGTAGGTCCTGCTTGGAATTTTTTTTTCAAAACAGGCCTGTTTCATCACAATTAACCCTTTCAGGGTCCAAGGCCAAAATCTGAAGTCACGCACCAGTGTCCAAGAAATTTTGAAAAAAAAAAATTATTTTTTCTTACAGAATTAAAGAGCATATTTTTGTGAAGGTAATAAAACAAAAAAAATTAGAATCTGATCAGTACTTACCGAGATACAGTGCCAAGAAGTTTGTAGAAAATGATGTGGTGGCGGCAACATCGACGAATTCCACATACGCGTATTATATTATTTTGTTTTAGTTGTTTTTTCTTTTCTTTTCCAATTTTTTTCTATTCCTACTAACATTTGGGGCCTGAGAGACCAATACTGTATATAATTTATATATATAAACTCACTGTATTGAACACAATAACCGCACTAAAGTTATTATCATATTGTTTACCACTGTTGTTTATTACAATAAACATGCACAAATATTGTATAATACTAATGTTCTATCATATATTTACATATTTACAATCACTGGACATGGTTTTAGAACTGCTGGAGCTTGTGGAACTCCTTGAAACAAGGCACCATGCACAGAGGCACCTTACATTCCTCACACATAAACCGAGTGTCTTTGCGTCTTTGTTGCCGTCGTTTTGTTTGTGCACAGACAATGCATCTCTTCTGAGCAAATTTCTTTTGAGTTGAAGGAAGCTGTATTATGAAATGATCACCTTCTCTTCTCAAACGCTTGGGTATATTGTGATGAATTCGAGGACCATGTTGTATTGCAGGTGTTGTTACCTGGTACTTCATTATGAGTTGTCTGACAACAGACAAACAAAATTCACCATACGGGGGTCTGTTACCAGTCTTTATTTGGTACTTTTTATATGCATTCAGCATTGAAATGCCCATGAGAGGAAAAAAATTTTATGACCATTGTAACTCTTACAACACAGTCAACAAAACCAATCTGCATGTCACACTTGTCAACCAAGCCATGTTTGTGTATAATCAATCACTGCATTTTTTTGAATACTTCATTAGTCACTTTTCGATCAACTTTGGCCACTGTCTTGCATTTCATTACGGTGAAGGGGTTGTCAACAAGTGACATCTGTTTGTCATGCCCCCGAAATGCCATGATGTCATTGCAGAAAACCCCTCCGTAAACACCACGAACACCTGCGTTGACCCTGGCATATTTTTTACGATTAGAACCACTGTGCCCCCCACCTGTCTTGTTCACTGCAAGAAATCACTGAGTAAGGGGTTTTGTGTACCAGTTTCGGTAAAAAAGTATGGCCCTTACCAAATAAGGGCCATAAATTTCCACTACGTCACCTGATATACCCAATAACATTTTGGGTATTTTTAAATGTTTTACTACCCGTTTACAACAATATCCAACACCAGGCCACGTACAATCACAGAGTACAAACAATTTTATCCCAAAAGGGGTTTTCCTCTTGCTCGGTATATACTGCTAATGACGTCTACCTTAAACAAAATCAAAGACTCGTAAATTAAAAATTTTGAAGGGGATAAAAGTATTCCGAACTTTTGTTTAGATACATAAAAACTTTTCTAATTTTGTGTAACCTGCACTTCGTAAGGCCGGTTTTGTCAGAGAAGTGCAACATACTAACAGTAAGATAAACCTTTTTCACGGGTATTTTTTCACTGAAGGTGGGGTAAAATTAGCCGATCTGTAAACCTTGCTTTATATTTAGTTTTTATAAAGACTGGGCAAACATTTTGGTTCCAAAAAGAAAACATTTCTGAACACTTCTTTCCACCTTTTCTTGACTTGTATAAGATCGTATTCCATTGGGGGTACGAAAATATTTTTAAAACCCCGAATCCCATTTAATGGCTGGTAAAGGGGAAAAATAAAAAATTTCCATTTCTTTGGGGGCCGTGGCCAAGGGAAGGTGGTAAATTCCCCTTTGCATATCAAAGGGGGTAGGCTAACAAAATTGGATTTTGCTGAATTTCCCCCAGATAGGGTTTGCGGGTGGATACTGGACATCATAGCTGGTTGTAGGGTGGTTTGGGGGCGGGTGGGTACGCCCGCTTGTCTTGAACGACGATCAGCAGCGGGGGTTCCCGCGTGACACGAGACCATGGCGGGCCACTCCCACCACCAGCCCCACAACACCATCCACTATTCTGTGGCCCACCATGCCAAGTGTAGCCACATCAACCCCTCATTTTATCATACCTAAAACGGGGTTTGTAGGGCCACGGGATGTACTCCGGGATGTACTACGGGGTGTATTTCCCCCCCTGGGCACAGCATAGGGGGCATACCCGAGCGCAGCGGGGGCGCACATACCGACCTTCACTGGTGAAATGTTTCCTCACTACACTACTCAATGATCGTCGGCGCATAAAATCACAATCCACTCAGAATCCGCATTACGAATCAGAGGCCCGGCCCCGGGGAAAAATTAGTTTTCTCTTACATTTTGGAACACCCGACCGTGATCACATGCCCCACCAAGGTAAAAGGGCGAGGATCGCGGGGTTTTCTGCACATTTTCGATATCCTGGTCATTATTTCGTCACAACTTATCAAAGCCGAGAATTCGTCTTCATTTCCCCTTTCCCTCAGTGTCAGAACTATCAGACAGGAAAGGAAAAGGTCCAATTTTTCCCCGGGGGGTGAAGCTACTTGCACGAGACATGGGGAAAAAGGGGGACTGAGCCGCGTTCCCACAATGCTAGCAGCCCTAGATTTTTTGTTTTCGGGGCACAAACCCCCGGGGGCAGACCCATTTTCTCTTGAAAGGGCCCATGATGCTTTCCCCCCTAAATTTGACGCGCAGAATTTTGGCGAAATCTACGTTTTTACACTCACCGACCACCGTGATCTACGGGACGGACCCTGAAAGGTTTTAAAAAATTGTTCGGTTCATCCTTTACTGTCTATGTACTCCTTGAATTTCCGCACATATTTTCACTGCTTTTTGGGTTTTCCCAGCTGGGAGCCCTCACCCGCCTTATCACATTAATTTTCCCCTACGCTTCTTAAATCCTCAAAACCAACCTTTGCTGGGCCTTAAAATTTTACTCACATCATCATATTGCAGGGATTTTTTTTTTTAAACCCATGCAACTTCCACCTTTTTTGCTTATGATCGCTTGAGAACCTTATCTCCGCAGCTGTTTTTCATTTTTCCAACCAAAAGAGTCCTCACATCTGCCATCACTTGCGTCTCGTTTCGAAAAAACAGTTAAACCTTTGGCAAAACAGTTCCTTGATTGCCTTTCTGTTCCCACATTTGTAGCGATGGTTATTTTGGGGGGGTTTCTTTTTAAAAAACCTGGGCCAGGTCGGCGACACGCACTCCACTTTCATACTTATCAGTGATCTCTTTCTTCATCTCTATAGTAATTCTCACCCTTACTGCTGTAGGGTTGGCACTAGAAACTTTCTTGGGGCCCATGGTCACTTATTTTGCAGATAAAATCACCAAAAACACTGTAATAATACGAAATGTTCCGATTGTATGCTTGGATGTTACTGCGGAGGCTGGCTGGTAAACAATGCCACCGGCGGCACATGTGAGGCTGGCTAAGGGCGCACATTGGACGCGTCTCGGATGAACAGCGGTGAGCGGGTTTTTGAGCGGTATGTGAGGCAAAATTTTTGCGATAAAAGCGAGCGGTATGCAGATTAAACGTTATGTGATGCCAACGGTATGCGGGGGTCCACTGTATTAGTTTTCATAACATTTATGAAGGTTTCCAAGGAAGATGCTTAGCTGGATTCGAGTCCTGCCATTTATGGTTACTTGGTGATGTCGTAGTAGGCTTGAAAGTATCTGTGTGTGATCTTTGAGTCTGCAGGAAGGGTGGGGATGATGTTCAGAGGGTCATTTGACTTGTGGCGTCTATACTTCTGGCAATACTCAACCTTACCTTGGTTGAGATATATCTGGCTGCTGTTGAACAAACAATTTCTGTTATTTTTGACCTGTCTTTAATTTCATAACAGGGATGCTGAAGATGCTGTCCACTCCCGTGATGGGTATGACTACGATGGTTATAGGCTGCGAGTGGAGTTCCCTCGTAATAGCCTTCCTGGAGCTGCCAGAGGAGCTTCTGGTAGGGGAAGAGGGAGAGGACCACCAGCAAGGCGATCACAGTATCGAGTCCTAGTTACAGGTCAGTTTGGACAAAGCAATAGTTTTTAATTTATTTCATTGTTGCATTTAGTTTTTCAAAAGATACATAAGTGTACATTTAGAACTATGGTTAAACCTCTCATTAACAAACTAATAGGGTTGAGGTGGTGTATAATAATGCCTATTGTCCACAACTTTCAAATTACAAAATAAATATTTTGTGATCGCTCAATTGTCTTCAGGGAAAAAAATGGGAAAAAAAAACACACCAATATTTGCTAATGTCACTATATTTGGAACAATGCATGCTTTTTTAGCTCTTTTGTGTTTTTATTCATTATTGAAAAGAAGTGATTATGGTCAGTACCTGACCAAGTGGGCTGTTGTTCATACATCAGCTTGCATATGGCCAGCAGTAACAGCCTGATTGATCAGATCCTGATCCACCATGAGGCCTGGTCTCAGAACAGGCGGAAGGGACATTGACCCCCGAAACCCACTCGAGGTAATGGCCCCAAATAAGAATAGTGAAGAAAAAATGTAATAGGAAAGCCGTATGAGCTACCATTGCACTAAAAAAAAAAAAAAAAAAAAAAACTTATTCCTTAACACAAAAATGGAATACATATGTCTTGTTGACCTGGGCAAGGAATGTGGCATGTCAATATCTACCGTATTTTCTATTATAACAAAATACAGTGGTCCCTCGTTTAGTGTAATTAATCCATTCCTGGAAGTGTTATTATCGAAATTTACGATTTTCGAATCAATTTTCCCTGTGAGAAATAATGTAAATACAATTAATCCGTTCCTGACACCCAGAAGTACTAAAAACAAAAAAAATTTACATGAAATATAGATGTAGTACATAAACAATACAATGGGACATGATGAATGAAACATTAACAGTATAACACTTACCTTTATTGGCAATTCTTCTTATTGTATGGAAGACTGGAGGGGGAGAGAGATTGCATTAGTTACTCATTGGAAGGGGAATCCCCTTCATTAACACCTCAGGCACCAAGTGCTTTTCTTGGGTTACTTCTCTGTTTCTTAATGTCACTAGGACCAGCTTGAGAGCCACTGGAGTCCTGTCTAGCAAAATAACTGTCCAGAGAGCTCTGTTTCTGGCATCTCTTTAACACCTCCCTAAAATGGGCCAAGACTTTGTCACTGTACATGTTGCCAACATGGCTTGCAACAGCCTTGTCAGGGTGATGTTTCTCCATAAATCTTTCCATCTTATCCCACATTTCAAAAATCCCCTTAATTTCTGAAGAAGGCACCTTCCATCTCTCTTCCTCCTCCTCTGCAGCAAGATTTTGAGCTGCAATCTGTTGCTCTTCCTGCTGAAGCTCTTGCAGCTCCTTAGTGGTGAGCTCTTCGTTGTGGTCTTCCACCACTCTTCCACATCCTCCAAACTCACATCCAACCCCATGGAACTCCCCAGTGCCACAATGGATTTAACAACTGACATAGGCTCATCAGGGTCAGTCCCAAACCCTTCAAAATCAGTCTGGCCAGACAAGTTCATTCCCAAATATATGAACACATACACTTCCTCCATACTCCTCCCTCCAGTTTGATATTCAGTCTTTCATTACCTAATTCATTTGTTACCCTCATCACCTTGCTCTTACCTATGTTCACTTTCAACTTCCTGTACACACCCTCCCAAATTTGTCCATTAACCTTTCAACTTCTCTTCAGAATCTCTCAAAAGCAGTGTCATCAGCAAAAAGTAATTGACAACTCCCATTTTGTATAAGATTTTGCATATTTTAATCCCACACCTCTCCCCAACACTCTAGCATTCACTTTTAAAACCACATCTATAAATGTTAAACAATGGTGACATCACACATTCCTATCTAAGGCCTACTTTTATTGAAAAGAAACTCCCTCTCCTACATACCCTAGCCTGAGCCTCACTATCCTCTTAAAAACTTAACATTCACTAACCTACCAACTATTCGATACACTTGAAACATCTGCCACGTTGCTTCCCTATCCACCCTGCCTGATGTGCTTCCCTGTCCACCCTACTATATGCCTTTTCTAAATCCATGAGTAGTTAAAACCTCCTTAGTGCCAACTTCTTACTGTACCCATAATATCTTAATATCCTACCCTTTCTAAAACCTCCTTATTCATCAGCAATCCTGTTCTGTCATACCTTTGACTCTTTCAGTAATTACTATACACTACCTATAATTTTCAATCTTTTGTCTCCCTTTACTTTATACAAAGGAACTATGCATGCTCTCTGCCAATTCCAAAGTACCTTCCCCTCTTTCATACATTTATTGAACAGCGACTTTGCACTGTGTTTTCGTATGGTATTTATTGTTGTATTCTAGTTTTCTTGGTCTCATTTTATAGAATGGAAGACATATGACAGAAATTGAGATGATTTTGGCTGGTTTTACAATGAAAAGTACGTTGAAATTGAAATTGAGCTCAAAGTAGCAGAAATGTTCGATTTTTACCAAAGTTCAAAAGTAAACAAATCATGCCAAGCGTCCAATACACGTCAACTGGTGAGTCTAATATTCTTTCGCAAGTGCGCCAATATTATTTATACCATTTTTTACACTAATGCAGTAGTCTGCATAACAGTAAATCTTATATTTTTTGTGAGAAAAATTCAAAGTGGAAAGCAAAAGAATGCAAGAGGGGCCTTGAGACATGACTAATGAACAGAGGAAATGTCATTTTAGTGCCAGGAATATCTTTCTTGTTTATTCTGGACCCTATACGGAAATTGGCATCTTTTGAAATTTGTGTGAAACTGGCAAAATTGCTAAATTCTGACCACTGTACTGGATAGTTGAAATTGGTAAATGGGTGGTTTCTTGCACTCATTCGATAGAAAAAAATGGAGTTCTAGCGAAATATTCATGTTTTTTGTTGACTAGTAGAGTGGAATTGGCCAAAAATGGGGCTCAAAGTGGACAAAATCGCCAATGTGTAAACATCGCTGAGACTGCTAACTTCGTGAGAGCATAATTCCGCAAATTTTCCATCAAATTCGTACTTTTGGTGTCATTATGATCGGAAAAAGATTCTATCTTTTCATAAGAATTTTTTTTTTTTAATTTGGCCGACCCTGAGAACGAGTCTCGGAGAGGGCCTGTCGACCCTCAAAGGGTTAACTGTCCAAATGTAGATCTACTATTTTTTTTTTTACATGCTTTTTCACGGAGAAAATGAAGGTTAGAGCACTACGCGCGCAAACATGGATCCACGTTTGGACAGTTGAAGGGTTAACTTTTCTGTCTTGATCCCATCACTCCCAGCTTCTTTGCCCTCTTTATTTTTACCCACTGCCTCGTGCACCTCTACCACTCACATCTGGCTCTTTTTCACTCCTAAAGAATGTTATTCCATCTTGGCCTATGCATGAAATCAGTCTCCCTTTCTTCATCATCATTCAAGAGCTCAAAAAATTCCAGCCATCTAAAATATTTATACATGTATACAGGCACTGGTCATGTTCCTATAACTGTTAGTCTGTGGGACTCGCTGAAACGTGCCTCCGTATACAGTGGTGTTTTATATTGCTTAAAATGCCTAACCCTGCAATTTGCTGGGTTCCTTGTTGTGTTTGCATAGACATAACATCTCTCCGAGCCCATTTCTTGTATTACCTGGAGAGGGTTTCGGGGGTGAACGCCCAAGCGGCCCAGTCTGAGACCAGGCCGCAGCAAAAAGTGTAATTAGTTATCACCATACTTCAAACGAGAGGGTATTTGGTCATCAGTACAGCAGTGCACTTCTTGTGCTGGTATTTCTGTATTTGTCTGATAAACAAACGAGAGTGGCCATATGCCAATCCGTGTCCAATCTTGATCTAGTACATATTGTATGCATTCAGCATTGCAGTGCAAACAAAATTAAAAAAATTGTCAGGTACCGCTTATAACTATTTGGACACTGTCAACAAATTCAATGTGCATCATGTTTGTCAACCGAAAACAGTGTTATTTATGGCAGCAGTTCATTTCACAATGGATTCATACATTTCTCTGTTTGCCTTTCTGTTTATTTCATTTTGTGCTCATGGATGAATGTTGACAGTGTCATTCCACATTTGTTATGCCACTAAAATGCTATGATGTCATTGGGATGAAATACCTGCGTTAAACTTTGGTCACGTTTTCATGTTCTGTGCACTATACCACACGTCATCTTTACCTGCAGGAAGTCGCTATGCATGGGTTTCATGTACCCTTTATCAGTGTACATCATGTACCCCTTACTGAGATATACAGTGGACCCCCCCCCCCCCCTTTTTTTTTTCTTTTTTTTGTGCAATACATTGGTACCCCGGATTTCATCCTTAATCCGTTCTTGAAGGTTGGTCTAAATTAGAAACGAATGAAAACCGAAACAATATTTCCCATAAGACATGCAATGGAACCTCAAATTTTGAATTTACTCCATTCCAGGAGCTAGTTCTGAATTCGAAAAGTTTGAAAATGAAGCAATATTTCCTGTAAGAAATAATAGAAATACAATTAATCCATTCCAGAAACCCAAAAATATTCACATATAGAGATTAATTATAGTTTTACATACAAATAGTGTACAATTATTTTTTTTTTTTTTTTCAACAAGTCGGCCGTCTCCCACCGAGGCAGGGTGACCCAAAAAAGAAGAAAATCCCAAAAAGAAAATACTTTCATCATCATTCAACACTTTCACCACACTCGCACATTATCACTGCTTTTGCAGAGGTGCTCAGAATACAACAGCTTAGAAGCATATACGTATAAAGATACACAACATATCCCTCCAAACTGCCAATATCCCAAACCCCTCCTTTAAAGTGCAGGCATTGTACTTCCCATTTCCAGGACTCAAGTCCGACTATATGAACATAACCGGTTTCCCTGAATCCCTTCACTAAATATTACCCTGCTCACACTCCAACAGATCGTCAGGTCCCAAGTATCATTCGCCTCCATTCACTCCTATCTAACACGCTCATGCACGCTTGCTGGAAGTCCAAGCCCCTAGCCCACAAAATCTCCT